TTTTTGCCCAGGCTCAGTGTTCTTATTTTTTTGCTGATTTCAGGCTCAAAATGTTCTTATTTTGGTTATTATTTTTACACATTCCATTTTTCAAGCATAGAAAATTATTGTACAGCATTACTACAGGTTTCCATAGTCTTTTAGCAGCTTTGGTCTCTAATTAGAATAATTTGAATTTGGAACCACAGAAAAGTGGTCTTTAATTGGAGGTGGTCTTTAATTTGTACGGTCACCAGATAAGATTTGTTGGTTTTTCTAGTACAGTAGAACCTCGATCTTACATACTGTATGGTACGGGACCGGAGGACGTACGTAAATCAGGGGATTCGTAAAATAGAGGTTGGATTAAATTTGTGGTGACCTTTGACCCTATACGTATGTAACACTTAATAAAGGTAGGCCTATGTTATGAACGTACGAACGATGTTATCTAGGCTAGATCTAGCCTCTAGGCCTACGAATAAAACTATGTGTTTAGTGTTTTTTATTCATCATTACAATGTCATAATAAAGTGTTCAAATAAAACCATTTGTCTAGTGTAGTAATTCATCACTTTATATCTTTTATTTAACTGTTCGTATACGTGAAACAGCAACCACATGCGCTGAATTGGGCGAGCCAACCAATTAGCGTTTGTGTACGAAATTATGCCTACCCAGCTTAGTGTCAAAAATTCGACCAGACAAGTTTTCCACACGCTCAGTTCACGATGTTTTAATTATAACAGCCCGGTAGTAGACTCAATCAACGATGCTGTTTAACGAAAATATGTTGCATATGGTTTGTTTATTGTTTTAGTATTGAAATATTAAGTAGACAGAAGTAACAAATCTCTTTTTAATTATGGTGGCTCTGAAAAGGGCTGTTCGTTTTGAAAGTTTTTGTGGTTTTTAATGACATCATTGTCGAAATGAGGCGTACCTAAAACCGAGGGTTTGTATAACTGGGGTACGTAAAAACGAGGTTCTACTGTAATATCATTTGATATTTTACCTCAGCTTCAATTTGTTATATTTTGTTCTTAATTTTTAATCAATTTCAGCCTTCTTAGTGTTTTTTTTTCAGTGTTCTTATAAAATGTTTTCTTATAAAAAATAAATAAAAATGCTCTTAGATAAGAATAAGATTTTGTCCATACTTTGGTGAACATGAACATAGGACCACCAGTAAAAAATATATGGTTTCTCATCAAAACCTTTTCTGGAGAAATTAAGTTTATCCCCCTAATTTTGTTGTAACTTATCAATGCTTTAAGGTCAAGTTGAAAAAGGGTTGCAAATTGCAATGTTGAAACAAGGTGAAAAATATTTGAATTGGTACAAAAGAAGAAGCAGGGTGAATGAGAAAATAAATTAATTTCCTTGAATGACCTATGTCTATGGCCTAGAAATTACAGACAATTTGTGCCTGTAATCTCTAAATTGATTGATGGAACGGTATTCCATGCAAAATTAGACATAATGTACCTAAAATTTCATATTTTATTTTTTACAATGTTTCATTAATTTTATTGTAAAAAGTAGTTTTATTAAATGATTATTATTTATATTTTTCTCCTACTAGTTGGCTTACTCCTCTGTTCAAGATAGGCTATAAGAGGCCTTTGGAAATTCAGGATATGTACCCATTACTTGATAATGATAAGACAGAGCACCTTGTTGATCATTTATCAAGGTATGTACAACAGGTATTTCCTCATTGAACTAAAGTTTTTTTTTCGTACCAGCAATCTTTAATATTCCCACCATAATTCCCCCCCCCACCCAATACTTACTGTACAAATAGGCCACTTTATTCCTATCCACTTCCCATTATCCTTCATGTTGTCACAGTGTTTCTCATAATCTCTATTTTACAGGCAGTTACAAACATTCCCTATTCTGTGTCCTTAGATCAATGGTGTATCTGGAAGGGCTCTCCTGCCCTCATTGAAATTATCTGAAGCAAAAAAATCATGCTCAAGTAGCTAAAGGTCACCATATTTTGTGACCTAGCACTCCCTCGCTTAATCATCAAGCCCTCCCACTCCACCTTCCTATCCTCCATCAGCCCCCTCCCATTTCAAGACTCATCATTTTCAATCATGCCATTTTTCCTTAGTGTGTTCTTATCATCTTGAATTATTTTCCATCTTGCAAATTATCCCTGCAGGACATGACATATGTGATTCCCATCCCATGTAAGGAAATATGGGACAAGAACTAGTGAAATTCACTACGACATCTTGTGT